AGCTACATCAAAATAGGAAACAATCCTCTATTTCCTAGGGCAAGAAGATCTCTACATCTGCTGCTCTTTCCTGCTAGCAGCCCTTTTCCTGCTAGCAGCCCAATAGATGTGGGGGCATTTGTAGAGCCAAAAATAATCAAGAAAAATATAGAGGCGACATGTGGACTTTTGGGCAAAAAAGATAAAATTACCCTTGAGGCACACTTGGACTCCCACGCGTATACAATGGACAATAACGGCTCAATCAAGGTCAAAGGTGACCTAAATGGTATTCTTTTAAACCTTCTTATCATCCCTCATCAAATCTTTACCCACAAGGTAACTTTCAATTATTCTTTTCAAATTGGGAGTAATTTCCTAATTAATTGATTAATTGCCAAATTAATTGCAATATATTATTTCACATAATATTGCAATCCCACAAATCAACCAAATGTGACCGGTCCCAATTCTCCTAATAGGGCCGGCCACACCCCTATATATAGCCGCTCATTTTCTCCAAAACCTAGGTCCAATTCTCTTCTAAAAATTCTCTAACACTACGTTTGGATGAAAAAAATTTAAGATTACTAAGGAATTTTAAAATAACGGAAATTGAATTGAAGAGATTTTATTTTCTAGAATTAGTGAATTTTCTTGTTTGGTTAACCTAAAAGAACAATGGAATTGAATACATAGTTTGTTATATTTAAGCTCTCAATCATAGAAATTGGGAAATAACACATATTGACATGGAATTTAAACTTAGGAATTGGAGGTCCCCAATTCCAAGTTTTTTTCCACGCGAAAATTCCAAATTCCTATGTTTATGAATCCAAACAAGGGAATTGGTGTATGTCAATTTACAAATTCTGAATTTTATCCAAATTCCAAGTTTATTTCCCTCGTCCAAACATAATGTAAACACTTTCTCTCAAATTCTAACTTTAGCATCGGAGATTATTTGGCCAAAGCCCTCCCCATTCATCGTGGGCGCGTAAGGCTCTTGGCCTTGATCTTAGGTGTTGATTGTTTTGCAGGTGCATTTTCGTCCAAGAAGAAGAAGAAGAAGAAGGAAATTTACATTCACAGTTACGATCACGGGATCCCTAAGATCCCTAGAAAAAAGATGCGGCAAGAATCCTTTTCATTTTCCTCGCTATTGAGGCACTATAGCGACATTTAATTCGTCCTTAAAGGCTTGAATGTATTGTAAGTTAAAAAATAAAAACAAAAAAACACTTACAAAAATTTATTTCATAATCATTTGACTTTACATACTAATCCACCGAAATTTTTGACAAAGCCAAGTGATTATTCTTGAATTGCAATGACCTGGCCAACTATAATTCGACCTATTTTAAAAGTTTCACAATAAATAATATGTGTGTTATTTAGTATTACAATTTAGTAACATTCTTAATATTTATAAGTAAAAAATATTGAGTTCAAATTTCATGACTCAAGAGTTTGATACCACTGTATTCCGCTTTAGCAGTTTCATAGAGAAGAAAATAAAAATCTGATTGAACTGTCATCAGTTCACAAGTGGCCCAAATTGTCTAATGCCCCGCAAAAAAGCACAATGAACAGAAAAATGACATGGCCTATGACAATGCACTTTATAACTTTATACTATGCGATATTGAAGGCTAAAATGGACAATTTGTGTAGTTTCTCAAACCGGAAAAATACCAACACCTCTTTTTCGTTTTTTCTACAAAGGGATAGAAGACAATTTCTGTCAGTCCCTTTATCAAATTCTTGTATTTCATATTCACAAAGTTTTGAGTGGTTTCTGTTATTTTACCATTTTGTATGAATGATTTAAAATATATATATATATATATATGATAACGACATAATTTTTCAACACACTCATGTTTCATTTTGTTCGTTATTTTTTTGTTTTATTTCTTAAATTTGATAATCAAGAGTAAAGATGTGCAAATATAAAGAGAAAAAAGTGGGTATTTTTAGCCAAAATAGTCTGAGAATGGTATTTCTCACTTTTTGTTCCTAACATTGAAAATCGATAGAAGTGGTCATTAAATTTATCCACAGTAAATTATTTTGGTTCTTCCGTGAAAAATTTGTCACTTTCCTTGTCAAGTGGAATGGTTGGTTTGACAAAAATACCCTTAAAAGGTGGCGATGTAGTCGTTCACGTGACAATTTTAACAAGAATATTAACAAATTTTTCACTGAATAACCAAAATGATTTACGATGGACAAACTTAAAATTTTTTTTTGTAATTTTAATTATCAAGAACCAAAGTAGAGAATTATGTAAATGTAATAATTATTTTAACTAAAAAACCACAAAAGTGATTACTAGTTCTCAAGTGGTGTTTTTTTTTGTTTGGAGGCTCATTTTGTCAATCTTTTTTCGTATGGTTTACGAGGAGGTTCATTGAACCTAGGACCTATACTACCCCACCCCTTTACCCATACCCACACAACATCATGGCTACGTTTTGTCAGTCTTTTTCAACATTTCCAGTGGGGCTGTGATTGCCAAATCATGTGGTTATGGAAATAGATGTTAACATCTAGTAGTGTGACTAGTTGTCGATTCCCTCGAGACCTATAGCCATCCACATATGCTCGGATTGTGTTCTTGTGATGTTTGCAACACATAACCTCAAATATCAGTACATCGGGTTCGATTTTTCATCAAATATCGTGTGGATGGACTAAGTATATCATTGTAAATGTGGACGTAACTATATTGTTTACAACATATGTACTTCTTCATGTGAGTTGAGTTCGAGTTCGAGTTCGAATTCTCTTTTTTATCCTTAAATATTATGTATGTAAGGGAATTTATTTGATCTTTCTCCTTTTCATAGTTTTCATCTGATGCGTTTGTACGTTTTATTTGTCAATAAAACTCAAAATGAATGAAATAGATATCTTATATATACTTTAATTTACCATACAAATGAACGAAAAATAACGAATGCGCTACACTTACACAACATTCAAAGTTCCATGGAATAGCGGATCCATATAAGGGGAAGTGGATGGTATTGCCTTTACTCGCCCTTTTTGCTACATAAGCACTCCTTAAGTATTTTTAAGCTCTACTTTAGCTACTTAAACTCTCCTTCAAAATATTGTCAAAAATACTTAACGGGTGGCAATTTCATATATCTCTAAATAGTTACTATGACAATTGTACAATATTTTTAAAATAAATTACATTTTACTTCTCGAAATATCTTTGAAGAATTGTAATTTCTTGTATAACAATAATATATACACGAGGAAGTATTACTTGCCCTCTTCCTTTGCACTATGCATTTTCTGTCATTTTATGTCAGTAGTGCTCCCAAACCACCCCACCACCCCACCCCAAAAAAAAAAAAATAAATAAATAAATAAAGACGCAAAAACAAGACAGACATGACAACATGGGGGCCTTGGAGAAAAAGATGCAAACGTGCATGATACACAGCTAGTGGAATCACCGAATTAGTTTGTTTTAGATCTTTTCAGTTCTCCTAAACCCTACGTAAATATAGATATGTAATACTATTTTGTCTCTCTCTCTCTCTTCATCGAAATATTAGCGGTAATTGTCATTGTTGTCAAAAGTATCTTACATTAGAGATGAAAGTATTTCGTACCAATTGATTTTCAGTTAGATTAGATTCTACCACATGCAGTTAAATTTGTTTATGATTCTATCTATTTAACAGTTGGTAAACTAGTGATTGTAAACTAGTGAATGATTTGTGGTATTTCTCAGTGTGTTATCTAATTCTTGTTTTGGGGTTTTGCTCTCTTTTTGAAACTCCGAAAGTACTTTTTACGGTTGTGAATATGAGAGATAAGCAAGTAAATTATTGTGTAAAGAGAGAAGCAAACACATAAAATGTTACATGTCCTATAAGTTTTCTCCTTTAAATAAAAGAAAATCGAAATCATAAATTTTAATGTAACGATTTTCGCTCGTAACTGATTAGAACTACAGCCTCTTGCAATGCTTTATTTTAATTTTTTTCCTTTTGGATAAGGTGAGCGCTTAAATTTCAAAGGAGAACCAAAACAAACCAAAGGTTGCTAGCTAGTAGCTAGTATGCATATGCATCAGAAAATAACTACTTGAAAACCCCAAGGTCTCAATCTTGTATTGAATAAGATTGAATAGTATGCAAATTTTCTTAGAATGTAAACAATTTTTCCCCAAAAAAAAATCCTATATTGCTACAACTAGGCCCCAAACCCAATGTCCTATTCTATGATGCTCCAAATCAACATCGACCTCACAATTTTTACCATCACTATTTGATGGCCAGATATAATTCATGTAAATATATATGTGTTTAATATAATTATCATCTGACTATTGAAATGATATTTGTATTAAATACATGTAAGTATTGTAGCCAAATTCATATTTACATTAAAGGTGTGAGATATTAAAACTAAGCCACACAATGAGATCAAACTCTTTATTCTCAAGAGTTTAATATAAACCCCCCCCCCCACTTATAAGTAAAGAGAAATATTAACATATCTAGCATAATAACACTAGTGGATTACATAAGAGATGCACATGTAGTTGAGAGCATGAATCCTGCATTGAGAAATTAAGAAGCCTTGCATGTGCTTATAAGAAATTGAACTAATATCACAACACTACCACTACTTCTATAAGGTTGAACTCATTTCTTCATTATATCAGAGCATGTTATTCACGTGTTGAACCAACAGTCTACGTACTCTCACGTCACCTAACATGTGACGTACTGAGAATATGAATGCATGAATCTCACATAAAAAAATTAAAAACCTTATATGTGCTTATAAGAAGTTGAACTGCCCACCTATCTTCACGGCGAACACAAGTACATTGTACTTTATTACCAGAGTCTCCTTTTCCTTTCCTTTTTGATCATATTCAAACAAGAACTAAGCCACATAAAATGGACTCCAATCTCAGCCAATCCACGTACACATGTCTCTTGCCATACGCCAAAATAAAACCTATTGAGTTGACGTGTAACGCAACTCCCCACCCATTCTAGCCTCCATATATTGTTAGCACACACACATATCTTTCACAGAGTTCGAACTACAAGAACTACCAGAGGAAGAAGAAGAAGAAGCAGCAACAAGTTCTAGGAAGCACAGATTTTTATCACCATTTCTGAATCCGAATGAGAAGAAAACGATCTCAAATGGCTCATCAAATCTCTCTGCAGAAACCCATCATCCAAAACACTCCAGTTCTACCAAAGATGCAAGAATATGGTGAGCAGATCTTAAAGAAAAATGACAGTTTTATGGAGCTGCAAGGAAGCACGTCACGAAAGATGCATGAAAACGAGGAAGTTTCAGTAATGGATGGTCATGATTCAGCTGCTGCAGAAGGTGATGATCATGTTGTTGTTCTGGATCAAGATCCCACGGCGGCGGCGGCGGAAGAGGAAGAGAGTGGACGTGAGAGGTTGAAGAAGCACAGAATGGAGGTGGCCGGACAGGTTTGGATTCCGGATATTTGGGGGCAGGAGGAGTTGCTGCAGGATTGGATTGACTGTTCAGCTTTTGATGCTTCTTTGTTTCCGAGCGGGATTATGACTGCTCGTTCTGCGTTGGTTGAGGAGGGGAGGAGAGAAAACTCCGGCAGATTAAGAATAGAATACAGGTGTTGAATATTCATTAATGATAATTTAATCTTCTTATTAGTTTTATAAGATCATTAATCTTTGTTTTAATAATTATAATGATCATTACAATGTTTCTTCCCAGTGATTTTTTTTTTAATTTTCTATTATTAAGTGGAGATGAAGATTTGAAACTATTACAATAATTTAAGAAATCGGGAGATTTCAAATTCGGGATGCTTCACGCTGATTATTGATACATGATAACTGTATGCTGTGGGAATGGCTTTTGTTAGTGAGAATGATTGCATTTTTGCTAAAAAGTATGCATTTTTCATGTTCATGCGGGATTCTAGTTTAATCTAAAACTATACGGCGTGGAATTTGAGTTTATATGTACAAGAGCTAAATAGGTTAAACCTAGGTTAGCAAAGAATGAATTTTGTAAAAAGTGATGCAACTAGTGCTGCAAACTAGTGTTCAAATAATATGGTGGTAACACATGTTTTTTTTTTTTTAGTAAACGATATTATCTGCACTAAAGGAGAGCGAGGTAGGCTAAGCATCACAATAGGCTAGCAATATTGTGATTCAAATTCGTTTTTGACGAGAATCGAATCTAAGATCTCTCACTTACAAGTAAAGTGTAAAGAGGTATATCACTAGACCGTAGTATAAGTACCAGTAATAACACGTTACATCGAAAAGAAGTCTCGAGTTCGAATTCCCCTTCCCCATTGAACAAACCGTTTCGCTTCTCTGTTTGATCAAAATGATCGTCTAGCCCTCCCATGAGATGATTTGATTGAAGCCTAGTGAGCAAGCAAATTTAAACCACACTATTTGGAACCCGATGTCAGCTTTGATTGTCAAACGGGCAGAGGGTGATGAGGAATCTACCATTGGAGGACCTTCCGTGCAACGGTGGAATATAGAGGGTGATGAGGAATCTACCATTGGAGTACCTTCCGTGCAACGGGAGTTTCACCGTATAAGTTTCTCAAGCCTATCACGCAATGTCATGTAAATTAAAATGAATGACAATTCGTGATTGGGTTGAGATACCATCATAGTGGCAAAATACAAGTCGATGTCTTGGCGATTCTAAATAATACTGTAAGCCATCTTCCTTCTCATAAAGATTCATTACATGATTACAACTTCACAATAAAACAAGTCACATTTCACTAAGTATTCTAAATTTCAAGGTTTTTTTTTTCTCCCAAAAATTGAGACCAGTATAAAAGAAATATTTAACAAATTTGCAATTACACAACTCTTAGCAGCAGGGTGTTTCTTTTAGCAGCTATCAGATGTCAGCTCCCATATTTTAATCGTCCCGTCATCGGCTGCAGAAGCAAGAAACTGATCCTCCTAAGAACATGCAACAGCAATGTACGAGGGCAATGTCAGAATATGTATGAAAGTTGGGCCTCTTATATAAAAATATAATTCTCCATATAGCAAAAACCCCTCTCTCTCAATATGCACAAATAGAACCGATTAAAAAATTTTACTGAAGGGGCGCTACACAGACAATTAGGACGCAATGTTTAGTGTGCCTCCAGTTCTATGTTGATTAAAAGTTCGTAACTGGATCTTTTGCGTAGAGCAGAGACAAATTTAAGTTATCCAAAAAATAAAAGGGAAAATGATAGCAGAGCCGCTTTCAGCTACTTTAGCAACCATAAATGGATTATGTGGAAATAAGTTGGTAGGCAATAACCATGCAGAAGATCAGCGGTACTGTTCCAAGGGTATTGCAGCAACAATAGTGACCCTCAAGTTGGTAGTGGTAGTTGAGTATTAGTGATATAACAATGACGCTTGTGATGATAGTCCAGGGTTCGATGATGATTGTGGTCATAGGTTGTGGTAGTATTCACTATAATAGGGGGTGGTGGTGGTGATACCATGGGAGCAGTGATGAACACAACAGAAAGTACGGTGACAGAAGCAACGATGGGTGGTGATAGCCACTGGAGTTGGTGTGGCATTAATGGTAGTAGATAAGACTTAGAGAACCTTAGTGTCCAAGCCCTCAATTCACAAGGAAAAGCACTGGACGAGAAATCTTACCCCAGGGCTCCATTGCACCGAATTGATATCCATGTCATGGGCATTTTCCTTCCTCAAAAGCAATTTATATGAAGGCCCATCAACCTGAATGAAATCATACAATTCGGTTACTTAATACTCTCAAAATCAGATAAGCAAATAATGGAGTCGCTCTAATCATCTAGCACTCGATGAGCTTGCTACTAGCAGTTGCATACGAATCAGAAGTAAACACGAATTTAAAATCAAAAACCTTGCCAGTAATTTAGGAACGGAACTATATGTCTAAAAGTATTAGATTAATTGATCCACGCCAAGCTCTAGAGATATATTTATTAGCAGTATACCATCAGAACCAATGCAGATATTAAGGCATACGAAACGAATTCTAAGATAATCAATAAGGGTTAAAGATTATGACATACCAAAACATCTTGTTCATCGTTCTCCACGAAAAATCTTATTGCATCATCTGCAGCTCCACTGGCTATGATATTGTCCCTGTCATTTTTCAGTCAAATATAAATTAGGGTTCTATTACCTAGTAATCTTGAGTTTCTCAACAATTGGGACTATTTCTTTGGTTCTATTACCTTGACCAATGAACTGAAAATATTGTCCGGTCATGATAACCTGAAAGAGTGCAAAGATGTCGCCTGAAAAAACCAAAATAATGCATCATCTTGCAATTACAACAAATGAAATACAGCTAAATGTTAGCACCCTACCAATCAAATTACTTGTTACCAAATTAACTTCAACTCCTTGATATTATATTTTATCTGGAAATTTAAATGAAACATTCTAATCATCACATAGAGTGAAACCACATTGATTAGCTTCAGATCAGAAGCAGCCAACTCCTATATTGCATATGCAACTGCACTAACGGTAAAACAGCAGGGAATTTGTAATTGTGTCTTCGGCAATACATGAAAAAAAAAATGACAATCCCGCAACTTTTTCCAGGCATTACCATATTGATTTCTTACACTCCCACGAGAAGCAAACTTAACAGATGCTGACTATCAGCAAGAATCAGAATCTAGATCAAGAGCTTCTCATTACCCAATTAAATGCGGGCACAGGTAGGGGTTGTCAGCCCCCAGTTTCAAATTTTCAATTCGGTGAAATCACATTATTCTGGAAATGATAGTCATTCATGTAAGAGGTATTCACATATCTCCCTTCATACCCACAATGGACTTGTTTGCACAACGACAAATTATTTGGGCAAATCCAGGATGACACATCTTTCTCTAACAATAAAACGCAAATGCATTGTCTTCTTTCTAGAAAATATAAAAAGTTTCAAATTCATGCAGAGAGAGAGAGAGACTGAGAGACTGAGAGAGTACTTCAAAATTTTTAAATAATTCACATTAGTGAAAAAACCGAATTCACGTATGGGATCTATCAAATAAAAAAGAAATACTCCTAAAGCTACTCACCAAGGTGCAAAACCATCAGCAGACATCTTTGTATCGTCTGATCCCCATATCTTTAGAGTAAGATCATCACTGCAAAATCAGTACATTGTCATTTTATTTCTTCAATTTCTGTTTATCAGAGATGTTCTTATAACTGGTGTTTTGGTATCTAAACCAATCAAACATGAAAACGAGATAACACTTTTGCTTACCTGCAGGTAACCATCTTGTCTCCACTGGCATTAAATGATAGAGCCCAGACAGTAGAAGAGTGAACACTAACAAGAAACCGATTAAGCTGAATTAGAGTAACATACTTTAATAAAAAGTGCTAGCAGTCCTAAGAACTCAACTGATTCACAACGATGTATTACAATCAACAAAAATCTCCTGCAGCCCTAGATGAGATCATATTCCTTTTGAATTATACATGAACAGCTAAGGTGCATTGCACCCACTGCACATTCTAGTCATCAATGTCGAATCAATTAGAGAGAAGCATGACCTCATTTAAGGAACAAGAGCTTAGGATTGAACACACACACGATCTAGAAAACTTTACTCAAAAGAAGGGAATGATTCTGAAGAAAGAAAGATGATGCAGAAATTTCGAGATGCAAAGAGGCTAATGTGTAGTACTTGTTAGTTTCACCTAAGGTTTGAACACATGCCCAATCATCATCGTCACCATCATCAGCCCATATCTGCAAGAAACATTGTACTGAATGATAAAAACTCTGAGGAAGTCCAATCTTCTTGATACGTAATGAAGGAAAAAAAAGTAACCATTTGTATAGGACGGTGGTAGGGAAAGTAGTAAGAGCACTTAAAAATTCCAAGCTCTTACCTTGACAGTGTTATCGTAGCTACAAGAAAATATAAGATTCCTAGTGGGATGCCACTGAACCATCTTCACATCTTGTGTATGGCCTTGCAAAACTGACACACAGTCAAACTCGTTCCCGGGCAGCACTTCCCATACCCATACAGTTTTATCTCGACCGCAAGTCGTAAGCATAGACCCAGATGGATTCCAACACACACTTTTCACTTCGTTTTCATGACCCTAATACACACACACACACAAAAAAAAAAAAAAAAAAAAAGTTCTCACTTTACGAGCAAAAAATCAAAAGAACCCAACTTGCAAAATCGACAATTTCTGCAAAGCAATAGTCTTTCAATGCCACTAACAGCAATATCTTTACTAACAAAAATCATAATAACCCAACTTGTAAGATCGACCAATTTATGTAAAGCAAGAGTCTTTCACTATTTCATACCTCTAGACTGGCAACACATTCATAATCGCCCCCAACATTTTCCCAAATTGCAGTAGTGGCATCGAAGCTTGCAGTGGCCAATAATTTCCCAGATGGGGACCAAGCGCACGATCGGACGGTTCTCGTGTGTGTTTCATCCAGAACTGCCTGCAACCCAGAATTGAGAACTCCATTAAAACCCGACTCATTTAACAAAAAATGGAAAAATCAAATAAAATTAAATAAAATGATGGGTCACCTTGCAATCCCAAGAAGAAGTTGAGGGGTTTTGTTCCCAAATACGAACGGTCTTATCGCCGCTGCAGGAAGCGAAGGAAAGGGGGATTCCAGCGACACCGGTGGCCGGATTCCAGGCGAGGCTCCATACCCTATCGGTGTGGCCCTGTAGCGTCTGAATCTCTCGGAGCTCTTTCGCTAACTCCATGG